TTGGAACAGTAGGATCTCACGAGGTTTGATGAGTTTAACCGGGACACCATCCGCGACCTACAGAATCAATCGCCGTACGAAAATAAATGAAGCTTGTTGGAACATGTGACGATGTTCAAAGAGTCGATGTAAGGTGAATATTTAGTCAACACAATCCACAACGGGGCGGAATCGTTCCTGGTTAGTGCGGGTGCGCACGTACCTTGGTTCAGCAAAACTGTGTATGAACCTTGGTTACCACACCAAGTAAGCTGATGCCACTAGTTTTTCCACTGATTTTTCTCCATCATAGAGAAAAATAGCAAAGTCGGTATTCGAGTCAGTTGGGCAAATTCTAGTTACCCAGGTTGCGCTGATGACTGAGCGTAGCTTGGTATATATATATAAAGATTAGCTACTGGGTGTAAAGGAATGGAAAATATTCTGAGCACTGAATTGGCTTCATGTATAATTGGTGAACGGCGGAATCACAAACAGGCAGCAATATTCAACTGCAAAACTTTGAAATCAACGAAGAGGCTTACCGTCTGCTGGCATTGTTGTTTGATGTTTTCCAAAATTGAGCGCCGTCGGTTTTCTTTATTGGCCATATCTTGCGCTATTTGCTTCGAAAGGCTTTCGCGTAGCATTGCTTCAGACTGGGTTCGAACCTCCATGACTTGGTCTACCTTTTTAGCCTGCAACAATCAGACGTAACTATCTGAATTCCTCACCTGTAACTTGGCAGAGCTTATCTTTTCTTCCAAACGTTGCTGTCTCCTTAACGTTTTGGTGGCCAGGTCTTCCTCCAAACTCCCCAGAATTTCAGTTGAACGATTTAAAAGCATTTCTTTGCCTTTTTCACGCTTTGCTTTGACATGCTGTACGTGTTGTTCATTCTTTAATTTTGTTTCCTGTGAATAGTGTCGAAACGATTGAGCTTTTAGTGATTCTTGTTCTTACNCCAGACTCTTCAAGTGGACAAATATCAAGCTTAAGAAGACATCAGCCGGGAAATAACATGCATTAGCGCGGCAACAAAATGTGATTAACAATACGGACATTAGCACTGCATTCATTACTATAATCAGCGACCCGCCGGGTCTAGAATCAACTTAACTTCACGTTGCTCATGCGAGGTAAAGGTAGTTTTATACTGTATGCTTTATTGCAAACACCATAAAAAGTCAAATCACGTCTCAAGTGTGCTTAATGTGAATGAAAGGGGTCTCTGACGATTTTTAATTTAAGTTCCCTTCCTAAATGTTTGCTTTAGAACTCATTCATTTTTTTTTAATTTTTATTACACATCTGGTTGTGATGAACGGCAGACGGGGCGGACCCCATAGTCACGAGGATCTGCTGTTCAGTGATTGAAATCGACAATCTAAGTCCCGGGGCTTGAACCACGTAAGGCCGCGATACGTTAGGCGTGGTATTGAACGGGACGGCAACAGAACTGCCTACCACCAACGAAGTCCCGGGTACGATCCCCAGTTGGGTCGATGGATTTGCCCCGCTGATGACACTCAACCAGGTCGAAACACCTGTCCAGTGCTTCCTAGCTTTTCAGTTCACGCTTCATTTGCCGTACACATCACGAATTCCCATTTGAAATTTAATTAAATCCTCCATTACTCACATGTGGCGGTGACAGGCAATGTTTAAATGGGAATATACATATAAAAGGGGGAGAGAAAGGAAGAACTGCGGCTGAGTCAGTTTTCATACCTTTCGTTTTGTTATCCGGAATTCTCTTATTGAAAGTTTTGTTCGGCTATTGGAGACCAATACTTCATCCATTGCTTCGGTTGTATTATCCAATTAAAAGTTTGGACGTGACGAAGTGAGATGCACAACTGATTGAGACATAGCGATTTCCCATAAATCACAATCTTCCTCAGGCAAATTTTGACTCGAAGATTTTTCACTCCATAGACTACAGCAGTCTACTGAGACCTGGAACAGTTATTCCTCGAATTATACGGTCACCTCTAAACTGTATTTTACGTTACTTCAACTCGGCTATCTGCTACTGGAGGATGGAAACTCGGATAAAATCGACACCATATTCTTTCTGTGATTGAAAACTTTGATATTGATTTGGCCGATTCTGATCGCAACCGGGACGTTGTACTTAAGCTACGCAGGCAAGCAAATGATAGATAAACTTGTGACGACTGGGTAAACAGTCAGTCCCGTTCTTGACTCGAGACTCGGTTGGACTACGCGTACCCTGTTTGACATACGTGAGTAATCAGAAAGTTCGCCAAGCACTCAGCGTCGTACTGTCGTTCTCGTTCTGGGACAAGAAAGGATGGTTACCAGTATACACAAATATATGCACAGGACTGCATGGACGTAAGGTATGGAGGTGTTTTGAATGTTTGAACGTATTAGTGGCTGAGGCAAAGTACTTCGGGTGGTATTAAGGTGACACGCAATCAAGGGCGAGGGTAATCAAGCGTAGGCTAAGGTGAATCTTGTCCGTCTTTCTCGTGCTACACGCTCGTACCAATTCTTTCCAGATAAACATTCAAGTGGCCACTGCTGGATCGTACTAAAGAAAACACCGCTAATTGAGGCGAGAATTTCAAAAGCTATCGAGAACATTGGAGCTCGACTGCGCAAGAAACTGGACGCTCGTTTGGCATTAGCCGCTAGTCCTGTGACCTGACCCGACCTGACCACATATGACACAGTTGACTTTGAAATCAGTCATTCCTTAACTTCTGAAAGACATCATCGTTCAAATTCAGCCTGTACCAAACAAATAAAAATACAAGTCTGTATAAAAAGAAAAGGTGATGATGATTTGCTCGTGGGAGCCAGATGGACCAGGCCAACTCAGATGAGTTCTCACAACCGGAGCCATCGACCAGCCAAAGCCGAACCGGCAAGGCAGCGGGGTGGTGGGAAAACCGCGCTCCATCGGGAGCCTGTCTATTTCGGTGTTTCTTCACAACTGGTAAGGTACGTACGTACGCTTCCTCTTGGCTGGTTTGGATTAGGGGTTTTTAGCCAACCCCCTTGATGAAGGTTCAGGGGGTTCACCGACTCGTTTATTAGCTTTGCGTCCTCGCTTTGGTGGGAAAACACCACTACGGGGAAGGCAGTTCGTCGAATGGAAGCATTTTACGAGGTGACCAGCCGCAACCCGAAACACCACCGAACATACGGAGGCTTCTTAAAAAAAGGTAGAAGGGATACGCCCAAAAGAGGCTCCTTAAATTGACACCGGTAGCCACCCGCAAGTTGCTACCCGCTCACTGGAACGAATTGTGGTTCACGCTTCCTTTATTCGGAAAATATTCGTGCTCACTTATTTAGACTTTAGTTAGAAGTGTAGTGGCAGTCCAAAAAAATCAACCTCATTCACACCGTACTCTAGGGGGCTGAGTGAGTTATCATAGGTATTCCTTCATAGCATGAACCAGATTCACCTTGACTTGTTCAGCAAACATTCACTCCAGAGACCTTTCTTATAGACAATAAGCCAGTGGTACACCGTTGGATTACCGTATGTCTTCTCGTGCCATTGTTGTTCTTTAGTAGAATCGGACCGCTGTTTCAGGTGTAAGTCTGGACTTATGTATGCATATACATCTGTATATATATATATATATATATATATGTATATATATATATATATATGTATATATATATATATATATGTATAGATAGATAGATAGATAGATAGATAGATAGATAAGGTTATTCTTGCTGCTTATATACCGAGCTAAACCCACAGATATCAAGCGAATTTAATGCCAATCCTACAGGGCCAACGAGGCAGCGTCATTCAATTACTGATAAAAACCATTGAGCGTTGGTGTTTTCCAAGTCAAGATAACTGACTGGACCGTATGCATCAGGATGAGAAATGGTATTTCAATGCCGTAAGCACTAAGCCAGCATGGAATAATCCATGATACTTTGTTCGCCGCCATGCAACAATTACAGCACAACGTATTCTTGCAGTTGTTGTGCAGAAAAAAACGCAACAGACCATACTAGGACTCACCGTAAGAACATTCATGCGACGCTTATCAGCACTCTCTAGCCGCATGGAAATATCTGACTCCGCAAAGACTTTCGGCGAAGGACTGACGCAGACCATCGGCCGAAAGTGGTTCGCTTCCGGTCGCTTTTCATCAAAGATAACCTCGAACGAAGCACTAGTGTTCATTTGGAAGTAGAAAAGCCCGGGCTATAACTTAGTTTAAATCTTCGATGCATTTTGGAAGAATAAAACAAATTCATATCAAGATAAACTAAAAGCCAAAGCATGCTGCCGAGCCGGGAGAATTTCATATTTTTTAAAACGAAGGATATCAGAGAAGGTATTACGGTGTTCTAACAGTCTTCACGTTCCGTTTGTCTATATGATTGACTAAGAGATTCTGTTCCCGCGGGCGGAGCCGGACCAGATGGCATTTGTCCCCTAATATTAAACTTCTAGCGGGCATACTACAATGGCCTATACTAAAGCTGTTTCAAGCGTCTTTACAGAAAAGCGCGATCCCGGAGGTTGTCAAAGAGCGACGGTAGTTGCTCTGCGACCGAAAACAACAGACCAGTAAGTCTGACGTCGGTCCTGTGTAAATGCCTAGAAAGGATTATACGTAAGTATCTGGCCGGGTACGTAGTATGACATGAGCTACTAACATGGCTTTATTAGGATGAAAGCATGTCTATGGAAACCGCTAGCCTTTCTGAAAGAAGCTGAAGCCAACCGACATTTACGGCCTACCGATAAGTTTTCTTACGCGTTTCAAACTGCGCGCGACCTCCAAGTGTCTCGTTGCCCGAGCCAGACAAAAACACACGTGGGAGTCGTAGACATTTATTTGCGAATCGTGGTACTAGATAGTACCGAAACGTGCCGATATGACGCTAAACAATGCAAGCAATAAATGCAGTAGCAAAGCGAAAGAGTGTCACACGTGTTACGTGGGTTGGAACAGGACCCAGCTTATATATACACCTGAGCGGAAGACGGTGCTCAGTAAAACAAGCAGAAGTAAAACAAAGAAGTATCACGGTTGGAGTCGGAGTTGATTGTGAGGAGAATATGAACGGAAAACGGCCTCGTGGATTGCTCCTTTTCTTCACACAATCATGGTCACAAGAATGTCAGTTAGTGGCTGCATAAGCTGTACACACGGGGGGAAAAAACAGCCATAAAAGTTGACTAAGCCGTCGACGCGTCGGGGTCGTCAACCGTGGTGAGCTCTGGGTGGTGGCCACACTTGATCGAGTAAAAGG